CAGCCACAGGTGTCAGCACCTTGAGCTCTGATGGAGCCGCCCACAGCCAAGCCAGCTGCCAGCCGTTGAGACAGGCACTGACCATGAAGAAGACGGAGCAGAGCTGCAGCCATGGGGCCAGAGCCATGCACTCACCCAGCCCGGCCCTACCCTGCGCCCCCGCTGCCCGCCGCAGGACAGCCCCGAGTGGGCGGTGGCTCCAGGGATAGCCCAGAAAATCTTGCCATTAAAGATTTTCTTGCCCAGTGTTCACTTCAAATTTTGAAGAGTTCGCCAAGATATGGAGGAGTGCTCTGTGAGTGTGTGCCCCATTAAAAAACACTGGAAACAAGTTTATGCCACAATATCAAAACAATTTGATTCTGTTGGGTAAACAGTAATTTTAATATCTCCAAAACTACTTGCAAGTTGCAACACGAGGAACCTGCATTCTACTGTGGTAATGTGGCACATGCTCTTTGGTTCCACGTCAGTGCCACCAGATTTGAGTCAGCCCTCCTCAAGAAGTGCAGTTGAAGTGCTCCAACTCATACAGTAGATGTAACAGCAGGAGGTCCTTCACCTTGCAAACAAGCACATGGTAGAGAAAATCCTTCATGAATGTATTATGACGATAGAATGCAAACCTTTTGCAAGGTATTCTCTTTAACTCCTCTGAGAGCCTAGTGTGACTTGTCCTCTAACCAGTCCCAATCATCTTGTGTTAACTAGACATTGCCTTCCTTTAGTGCAAAGCTGTCCTCTCCTCATTTCAGCAGCCATTTGTAGGAGTTGATTCTTGCTTTGAGCTCAAATAGCCCCTAATACTAACCATATCTCAGGTCACTCTTTGCATTGTCACACTCCCCCAAACTGCAGTAATTGACAAAGACAAAGACAAAAACTCCGTGATTGACAAAGACTCTTCAGTCAATGCTTCCCCACCTGAATGCACAGGCACTGACTCAAACCCTCTCCCCGCTCTGCCAGTACATCTGGACGCTTGAGCTCTTGATACACTGGCCATGGAGGCCCTGAAACAATTAGCCTGTGCTCCACAGACATCCAATCCCCACTGTCACCTGTGTTTCAGGATATTTGATGAAATCTAAGTAAGACGCAGAAGAGCCTGCCGCCCAAATGCAGTTGCAGGGGCAGATTTGCACTCAAGCGTTTGGGCCTGGTTGCAGTCAGCATGTCCAAGAACATTTGATGCCCACACTCCTTAGATTTCTCAGGAAGAGGGAACATGGCAGGAGCCCCTGAGATAATAGGTCGGCTGAGAGATCAGGGAGGCCTTCCCACTTGGCCTCAGCTGCAGTCCTCTCTGGTACACGAAAAGGATGACATCCCAGGCAAAAGGAAACTTTTTTAAAATAAAAAATGTTAAAGACCTGATACGTTAGGGTTGTGATCTAGAGAGAAGGTGACTATGACTTTTTGTTTACATAGGAAAGTGAAGTACAGGTTATAGAGTCTTGAATTTCATCTCCTGAAAAGATCATAGAATGTGGTGCAAGGTCAGACTGGCATGAAATCAATTGTAATCTGCCAGGAAGCCATTCTAACCTCTTTAAGAGTTTCCTTTTATAGACAGAGCAAAGTACATTTAAATAAAGTCTCATCAAATCAGAATGTCTTTCTAATATTATTTTTTTAATTGGTTGCTACTGTAGTGTGACCTAAAGCCTCCTGGTATTTAACCCTCTGTGTAACTTTGACTAATGAACGAGTTTTGTCTGCTATAGCAGTCTTGCTAAATGTCTTTTATGGAGTTTTAAAAAAAATTACAGTGTATTATGAAAACCTCAGATTCCTCGACCTAATTGATTGGCTGTTGGTGATGCCATCTCTGTAACTGTAATGTTCCGTAAGTGCACAGACCTAACTATTTTTCTTATTTTTATATAGCAGTTCCATTTTATAATGACATTAAGCCATTCTGAGAGCTACATTTCTGGACAGTTATTGCACTTGGGTAGAAAGTGTCAGCTGGCTTTTAGCCTTGTGCCTTACAACACCAACTGAGGCGTAAAATGATCAACTAGAAAATGTACTGAGCCTTACCTCATTACTTAAAAATAAATCTTGGAGTCTGGTTCTGTTTCAGAAAAGATTTGGTGGGTTATAACATTTGATTTATGAACATAATTAAAATATAAATGATGAGCTCTGGGCTATTCAGTCAGCCATCTGCAGTGTTCAGTATTTTGACATTCTCATATTGTAGTCAGGATCTTCCTGGGAAATTTGAACATCCCTGAGTTCTCGAGGTGCCAGTGGAATCCCAGGGCTTCCAGTCCACCTGTTGAGAATACTTAAGTTGTTCTTTCAGGGCGAAGGACAGGGAACAGGATTTGTTTGTAAGTTTCCTTCAACCAGGGAGGGATCTTGGCACATGGACTTGCTGTGTGACTCCTAGCCTGGGCGCGAAGGTAGCTCAGCTGCCCCATGGTCTGATAATATATCTATAAATACTGCATGTGTCAACAGAGGAGGACATTTTTCTGTATAATGCAAGCAAGATTAATGTTTACCTTTTCACCCAGCTATTAAGGTAATGTGGCAGCTGTACCCATAAGTAGATGGTAGATGTTTCTCTAGAAACCTAAAGAGTAAATTACGAAAATCACTTATCAAAATCGAAGGTGCATTTTCTATAGCTTAGTATGTGACTCTTTTAAACGTGAACCCCATGTGTAGCAAGTCCTTAGCTTGTTCTTCCTCATTTATGTGAGTAATTGACAACTGGTAAACAGCCATTAGTAACATAAAAAAGCATTTAACTAAAACAAACTCAGCGGTACTGAAAAGGCAGAGTAGATTAGATTTTCAACACTCTCTTTATTAATGGACGTTGAACATGTAAAGCCCTTAGTGCACTGCGCTGAAAAATATACCCTCTCTGTTTGCTTGTGAATTATACAAGGGGAAAAAAAAAAAAAGCTTTCTACATCGACCAGCAAGCATTCTGCTTCTCCTTAATTCATGGGCCGGAAGTCAGCAGCAGCGCATGGGAAATGGAGCCCTTCCATGAATCAGAGATTAACCTATAAGCAAATGTTCCATTGCAGCCCAAATTTGGGGCTTTAAATATAGCCTCACCCAGAATGGTTCATGGATAAGAATGACAGAGGTTCCTTAAGCAGGAACTCCATAAGTGATGCTGTTTCTGAGTATGAACAAGGAAGCAGGTCTCTTGTCTGTGTTGTTTTGTTTTGTTTTTGGTATGTGTTATACCACTAGAAATAATAGACCCACATATGTCACCCAATGGTTGTATTTAGCCCAGGAGACAGTCTGCAGCTCATGTCTCCACCCAGCTGTCAGTTCTCATTCAAGGTCATCCTGTTTATCCTGTATTTCTCTCTTTCTTTAATGACTACCTTCCCAGCCCAGTTATCAGTATCTGGAAACCGCTAGGCCATCTCCCTCTTAAACATTTCCTTTGCCAGCAAGTCTAAGAATAGAACCGTGTTACTTACGCGGGTCATCTGGAGCTTCGGGCCTGTTAAGTTCGCTGGCAATGACTTAGCTTCTTAGAAATCATTACCAACTCACAGTGTGTACTGTATATGGCTATCCAAGAAGGCTCTCTTCAAAGGTTTTGAATACCACCTAATTTTCAGAGATAGAAGAGAAAGATCCCTGATAGAAAGGAAGACTAGCAGCGTGTCTCTGGGAAGCAGTCATCCCTAGAAAGGACTCCCTTGTGTGACTTATTTATCTGGGTCCACGTTGAGATGGGTTGAGCCCTGCCATATTTCTGTTTTCTCCCGTAGCGCATAGGATGAATGTTAATGAACTAACCACTGCTTGTGAAAGGCCAAGGGGCTGTTGTGTAGGTGGTGTGATTGTCTGAGAAAGTAAAGTTATGGAAATGGTTTTGACCTTTCAGCCAGCTGATGCCTTGGCCTCTCACATTTATTACTCTTGAGTTCACTTCCAAAAATATACATTTACAGAGCCACAGAATTAAATGAGAAATGGTTTAGGGATTAATAAATAGCTTGTTAGTTGAGAATAGAATAAAAACCTCCCAGTTTCATCCAGGTTTTATTGGTAAATGGATTTGTATGTGTATTTAATTACAATCTCTTCCACTTCCCTCCCTACTCCCTACACCTCCCGCCATTCATGTCTCATACCCATACCCCCACCAACTCACAACACAGTTTTTAAGTAGCTACTAAAAAGAAGAATACTCATATCACCTACCTCAGTACTTCATTGCATTAGAAAGCTATACTTGGTTTTAATAATGGATTGCTATTGGGAAATGTGGTTTTGAATCAGAAACTCCTCCCAACACCCATTTCATGGGGCTGTCTCTCCTTAGGTGTATCACTACTTCATTCTCGGTACCAACGTTCTCATCCTTAAAACTGGGGTTATTCCACCACCAATTACAGTTCCTACCATTGTAGGCTCAGTAGACTGTCAGTTTCCTTCCTTCTTATATGTTTTCATTGAGAAGTCAAACAGTTTAATTAGGGCAACCAAAACCTCCCATTTCTTTATTTTTAAAGATATTTGAGTAGAAGTCACAAGTTTTGCCTTTCCCCTTTGAAAACAAGAGCATAGAAGAAGCAATCTTATTAATATGCAGTGTCACAACATATTGTCACATAGTAATATATGATATATGATAAAATGTATCAATTCTGAGCACCACAAATATCTGTGGCTTCACCTCAGCATGAAGGCAAATGAGTTTCCTTTAGCTTGAGTGAGTTTGGAGATAAACTTCAATGTAACAAAATGTATTTCACAGGAAATGTTTGATGTGGCGCAGTTGGCTTATGAATCTCTTATCTATTCGCAGTTCACTCCTTAGAGTTATTAGTCAATTTAATTTGAGCAAATGCCAGGATTACTAACTAATTAGAAGGATGTTACTGAAGGCATAAGGATGGGGAGAGAATAAGCGCTAGTAGTATGGGGTTTGTGGCAGCCTGCAAGTCTGACTTTGCCTGATGCTATCATTTGCTAAACATTATACTTTTGTTGTTGTCATACAGATAAGCCTCAAGTGCATATTCAGATGACTTACCCTCTACAAGGCCTAACCCGGGAAGGGGACGCGCTTGAGTTAACATGTGAAGCCATCGGGAAGCCCCAGTAAGTTCTGAAGGCCAAGGTTAGCAGAGGGTCGCGAGCAGTAAATGTCACAACACAGAGATGTGCATTCACAGCTCATTGGCCTGTCACCTGTCTCCTGCTGTAAAGGATGGAATATTTTTTAGGAAATAAAAGAATATTCCGTGAAAAGGGGAATAAATATCTGTGGTTCTAAATGGTGGGATGGGGGAGGGGGGGAGGGAATGAAATGCCAGCTAAGATTGAAATCTCAGCCAGTTCTATTTTATTACTAACATGGTTGTCAGAACTATTTTCTCTCTCTCTCTCTCTCTCTCTCTCTCTCTCTCTC